GCGAGGCATTAGCAGTCGAAAACAGATCATTCAATCCCAACTTAAAACTTACAGTAAGAGATGGTTAAACTGAATAAAACAGCAAACAGCATTGTTATTTCTTAACACAAAACACTGAAAAGAGAAGCATTGTAAATACAGAGTTTTATCTTTATCTTATTAACTTTAACTAAAAACAAGAAAACCAATAGATTACTGATCTCTAGATCGTTCAATCCCAACTTTATTAATAATGTCCACCGCTATCACCTTTACACATGCAATGATTTCAATATAAAGAAAGAATAGAATATAAAGAAGAGCAGGATGGTGGTGTGGTGGTCAGCACCATTGCCTCACAGCAAGAAGGTTCTGGGTTGGAGTCCCGGGGGAACCAGGACCTTTCTGGGTGAAGTCTGCATGTTCTCCTGTGTCTATGGGTTCTCTCCGGGTTCTCCGGCTTCCTCCCACCGTCCAAAGACCTGCATGTTAGGTTGGTTGGACTCCAAACTGCCCTTAGTGTGAGTGTGTGTGGTTGTTGGTCCTTGTGTGTCTCTGTGTGACCCTGCGATGGACTGGGGACCGTCCAGGGTGACCCCGCCTCTCCCCATTGGCTACTGGGATAGGCTCCGCCCCCCACGACCCCATTAGGAAATAAGAGGTTATGAAAATGGACGGATGGATGGATGGATGGATAGAATAGAAAGAGCCTTACTAAAAGCCGCTTATAAAAAGTTTACTGACATATTTAAGTCTCATAATAGTTATTATTTCCAGCGTTGTTTAATTAGGGCTTAAACGTTCCTCTACATTTGCCCTCTGTGGAAGGACACGATGATACAGACTGTGCATCTGTTGTTAATATCTGAGAGCAATAACTGAACTCACTGTGGGTTATTTTCTGCTGCAGTTTCAGAGAGCAACGAAAAAAACTATTTCCACATCCCAACCAAGAAAACATGGCAGTCTGCTCAGCAGCACTGCAGGGAACACTTCACCGACTTGGCCATGATTGAGAATGAGGCAGAAAACACTGAGGCCTTCAATGCAACACCGGGCACTGGTTCTTATTGGATCGGTCTGTACAGGAACCCCTGGACTTGGTCTGACCGGAGCCAAAGCTCCTTCAGGAACTGGCATCCCATCTACAAAGAAAACAATGGTGGTCAACAACACTGTGTTGTAGAAAATACAGACCATGAGTGGGCTGATGAAGATTGTGGAGCTGAGTGGCCCTTCCTCTGCCATCAAGGTGACTACTGATAATAATAAAAACATGTTTTAAGAACATGAGCCTTTTCTCTGACCTGATTTCTGTTCAGTTTTAAGGCGGAACACCGTTGTCAGGATGACGACTGAGACTGATGTTGACCTCTCTGATCCACACATTCAGTCCCAGGTCCTCCAGAAGGTAAA